CCCCAAAACCCCAAAACCCCAAAACCCCAAAATTATCTCACCTAAATCTCTTTAATATCAAAAATTTATCAAAATGGCAGACTCCCATTCCTTCTCATTCAAAGTAACTCTCTTCTAATGTCAAGACAATCCTTCTCGGAGATTATGGGATTGGAAAGACAGCCCTCAGCTACAGACTCCGCTCGAAATTCCTTCTTTAACCCCAGAGAGACTTCTTCAGACAAATGAGCTCCACTCAGGACAGTAAAGTCTACAAGATTGCTCACTTCCAAAATGTGATAGCCCAAGTTTGATTCGATGTACAACCAGGATTGAAGAGATGATGCCTGCATTGACAGTTCAAAATAATTCAGATTTACCGAACAAATTAAAAACAGAAGCTATTTCCACTGAATTTAGACTCTTGATAAGTCCTTATCTGGTTAAATATACTGTAATCGGTAGGAAGCAGAGAGGTAGACATCTGAGGAAGTACAAAAGGAAGGCCCGTATTAGAGCGTTGGAAAAGAGTTTATATTCCTACAATTCTTGCATAGACTTTGGGATGATTAAATTTCGGTAATAACCAATTTTTAATTAAGAATTGGAATTGTGGATATAATTGTGATACCTCACTATGGTTATTCCTATTTAAGTTCCTCAATTTTCATAATTTGAGAATGATGAAATTTGTTTACAAGTCTTATTGAGGATTGAGAAAATGCATAGCTTTTAATCAAATTTACAGTATGTACCTTCTTTGACTAATTAACACATATATCTGGTTCATCTGTTCACAATTAAACATAGTCAGTTTGATAAAATATGACAAATCAAGAATCTAAATTTTGGGAGGAGGCTTTCGAGGTGTTTTAATTTCTGAGCTAAATCTAACAGAATAAAACTGAATTATTTACAAATTTGATGCAGTCTTATTTTATCAGAAATAATGTAAAATACACCTTTACGGAGTATAGGTTTGGGATACTTCAAGCTTGAAGATTATTACTTCTTGGGTAGAATTTATTACAAAGATTCTCACCTTGTTATTCTTGCCTATGATGTGACTGGTAAGATTTCAACTTTAAAGAATAGACAGGGATTATTTGAAAACAGTAAGTACAATCAATTTTTAATTCTTGTATTGGATCAACGAATGTGAAAAATATAATTATCTCAAGAACTCTATCCTTTTAGGGAATAAAATTGCTAATATTCGATATAATTTTAGACCTGGAGATTATGAGACAAATAAGCTTTAAGAAGGACAACAATCGGCCAAAATTACGACTTTTCTTTCATAGAAGCCTCAGTCTTAAGTACCACTAAAATTAACGAATTTCTCACAATTTCCACACCTTATGCCTCTCAGGGGTTTTGGGGTTTTGGGGTTTTGGGGTTTTGGGG